TGTTTTCTGAATGCTTGTCCTACTTGTCCTTCTTTATAAGAGTCATATACTTGTTCTAATTTATTAAAGAAGTCTTCGTAAGAAGTTGGTCTTCCTAGTAGTTGTATTGCAGCTTGATAATCTTCTGCAGGGTGTTTTCCACTTGATAGTCTCTTGTATGTTTGGAATGCTCCTCCTTGTATTCATGTTGTTCCATCATTTGCTTCATCTCGAAGTCTGTAATATTCTTGTTTAAAGTCTAAGAATTCTTTTTCATTTACATATTTAAAGTCAAATATGAATTTTGAAAATATTTCTTGTGCTGTTTCTTGATATTTGTATGTAATATATTTTTCATGCATGTATAGTATTATAGATACTTGTTTAGATGGTGCTCCTCCTGAGTCTGTTCCATCAGGCCAGTCTACTTGTAAATTTTCTTGTCCTGGTTTTATTACTTGGTTATTATTGTGTATTACTCTATAGTTTACATGTAAGGTTGTTGGAAAATATTTTGTTATTTTGAGTGAGTTTGGGTTTCCTCCTCCTGATGTTGATTTATTGCAAGAGTCTAGTAGTGTTCATGCTCCATTATACCAGTCACTTGGGAATATGCACATGAAGTATTCTTCTATTTCAAAGTATGCGTCTTGGTATATTTTGTTGAATGTTTGTAATACTAGTTTTCACTATAGTTGTTTTATGTATACAATGTTGTATTGTCCTCTATGCAGGTCATCTGCTGTTGGGTTATCTCTTATTGTATTTATTACATCTATTCATTGGAATCTAGAGTATTTGCTTCCAGTAAAGAATCTGGTTGTAAGTAATTCTTTTGGTACATGACTTTGTATGTTTCTTATGAATATTCTATAGAATTTTGGCTATTTTTGTTTATTAAATTTCATTCCTTCCATAACTTTGGTGAAGTCTATTTTTTCTAAGGATAGGAATTCTGTTGTTGGTCCAGTGTATGCCATTTTATAATATTACTTTTTCTGGTAATTTAATTGGTTTTACGTTTGCGTATATACAAAATCTAATATAATCTTCTAATTGTAATCCATCTGATTATAATAATAATAGTAATGCTGTTAAGTTTTTTACTAAGTGACAGGATATTAATGCTCCTGTTTTTGGTTTTCAGTTATTGAGCTGTTATATATTTGTATTAGTACTTGTTGGATTAATTGTTCATTTCTATCAAATTTATTTTTGTCAAGGTATACTTCGTCGTTAATTTGAATAAATATAGGTTTTCTTGGTGTGTTTAAGTTTCTTGTAAAGGTTTTATAATATCTTGTATATTTGTTATAATGTTAGTTGTCAAAAGGGTAATATCAGTTTAGTACTTCTTGATAGTTAATCTGTTTGCTTATTTAAGTTGATATTTTGTATTTGTTGTTTTTATTGTTTCTTCTAGATTTAGATTGAATTGTTGGGCTATTTCTTGTAATTTTTTATTTGATTCGTTAGATTATATTGCACAGATTAGGTAAGTTGCTTTTTCTAAGTTTGTTAGTGATACTAGTCTTTTGTTGTTTACTAGTAGTTTAATTTTTAAATAAAATAGTTGTTCAGTTTGGTTTAAAGGCTATGCTTCAACAATATACATTTAGAGGATATATAATAGTTATATCCTGGGTAGTTAAATATAAACAGAGTTGAAAG